AGTGCGAGGATAGCAAAGGCAGAAAGAGCCTTTTTGCAGTATCAAAATTCTTTAAGTCTAAAGCGTTGTCTTAGAAGACAAAACKTAGACTATACACGGCAATAATAAGGCCTACTCTCACTTATGGGTGTGAAGTATGGACAACAACAAACGTGACGAAAAGAAGACTTAGAACCTTCGAAAACAAAATATGGAGAAAGATATGTGGACAAGTTCGCGACGCAAGAACAAATGATTGGAGAAGAAAGTTTAATAAGGAATTACAGGAAAAACTGGGCCTAGCACCAGTCACTATAGCTACATTACATAAAGGGACAAATATTACAGTGGTTTGGGCACATAATGAGGAGAAGCAAAGAAGAAACTATAAGGACAGCGATAGAATGGCAACCAGAAGGGAAGAGACCTCGAGGCAGACCAAGGAAGAGATGGCTTGACATAATAGAAGAAGATCTTAAAACTGTGGGAGTTAAAGAATGGAAGGAAATTATACAAGATCGAGAGAAATGGAGGGACATAGTGTTGGCGGCAAAACTCTAATAGAGTTATAAAAGCCAGTTATGATGATGATGAGGTTGGATCAGGAGATTTTGGTTCAGATGAATCTGAATGATTTCTTTTACTTGTCTTTTGTGTCCAACCGGAATCCGTGTTATCAACCTGGAGTGAAGTTGGATCTGTAGAGTTCAGCATAGGATTATTTGTAGAACTTTTGATTAGGCGAGCTGCCTGTTAATTGTTGCTGTTTCTGATTTTATCTGCATGTTTATTAATCGCTTTTGGCGATGTGGGTACGTTGTGAGATCGCGACATGTTATCTGTGGGCAAAGGTCAGGTACCGATGCACGTTGCAGCGATACGCGACGGATTATAGTAGACGGTAAAAACTTTATTCAAACGTAAACGTAAACGTTTACATTTAGAATGAAAAAGCGCACTTAGGCGCACTTCCAGTTTATATAATTTGTATAAATAAATATATAAAACAATTGCGATTTTTTTTTTCGTACTAAGTACGACAACTTCGGACACGAAAATTGGACGGGATCACGAAAATTAAGCGGAGCGTAATTTAACGTGTGCGACGAGCGACGTGCAGACCGCGACTGCAAATTATTTTAAACTAGAAATTCATAAACAATTTTCCTTTTATATCTAAGATTTGAAAATTTAAAACAAGGCTCCTAAAATATTTTTACAATAGCAGTCGAAAAATTAAAGAAATGCATACTCACATTTTTTTTTTACAAGCATTTAAATTAAAATTTTGACAACATACGTAAAATTCACGAAAATTCGCAAATTATTTTTAAGCTAAAAATTCATAAAAAATTTTCTTTTTAAATCTAAGATTTGAAATTTTTTAATAATCTATAATATATCCTAGACAGATAATCCGTCTCTGTTCAGAATCGTTTTTCGTATACAATGATACCTATCATTATGCATTCAAATTTGCATACTTAATTTTAAACTTGGGGAAAACTTGACGAAGGAGTTTCAAAACTATAGTGATGAGTACAGTTCAAAAATACATAGGTATATGGTATATAGGTAGGTATATGTATTATATTATTCACATCACGGTATAGCTATTCGTCAAGCAACGAGCAGGTGAAGGATGTTATAAAACATTATATTATAGACGAGTATAGACGACTTTAGAATACAATACATTGACAATATGACTCCGTAACCATAGTTATGATGTTTGTTTTCCCACAGCGTTTCGTGTAAATGCGTAGTGTGTAAAATTACATAATATACGTATATTTTGCGGCGAGCCATCGACATATAAAGCACTTGTCTTCTAAATATTATAATAGWATTGTCTAAATTTGTCCTTATAAGTTATGACATATAAGTCCATGRATAGTGAGTTGTAGAGCCATTAGGCACCTTAAAATATTTACAAAGCTGTATAAGCTAGATGATCGAATATAAATGATTATAATTTATACATTTTGTGTTACTTTAAAACGATCTAAGATCTTTGAAATCTGATATCAGAAATTCGGTTCGAACTTTGAGGTCCTATTGCCTATATATAGATCTAAAGATCCAAAATTTCATGGTATGCCGTGATACAAGAAATGTCCGCATATACGCACACACGCAATCATTGYAATATTGTACTTAAATGTACTAAAAATGGTCGGTGTACCTGGATAAAAAAAAAAAATTTACAGGGTGATTCATTAAGTTCTCTTTTTTCTTCAATAATGCTGTCATATCACTTTGTGTTCTGTATTCCATCGTAGGTAATATAATATATATGTTCATTATAAATATGGCGGCTACTGTGATTTGAACATTTTTGTCATTAATACTAGAATAACCTATCAAAATTAATCATTTTTAAAAATTATTCGAGTATAATAGATACTAGTTCTAATATTGCGTCTATTTTATATTTTTGTAAAACCATTTTTAAGTATTATTAATTATCATTTATAGTACTGCAATGTGTT